GTGCTCCCTTCACTTAGTGCTGCTAAGAATAGGGGTTGGGAGAAACAGGAATAATGCCGAATTGAACAAAAGGAAAACACAGTCCACAGACCTGAGCCAAAAACGGGAGGGGAGGAACTGGTCCAAAAACAGCACTTTCCCCTGAGATCTGGAGTTATTAGCAGGTTGGCGACGAGCAACCTGCTGCCCTGCATCCCGCATGTTATGCCACTCAGCCGGTGTGAAAAGCAGCTACTGGGAAGGCTTGTGGCAGCCTCGCCGTGATGCAGCGGCACATGGGGCTGACTGGAATCTCTCCTCCAGGCAGGGAATGCGGATTTGGAGCCGGAAGGAAGCCATGCCTGCCCACCATGGCGGGATGGAAGGCACCTTCCAACCTAACAATCGGTCTGCTCCAGGCATTCCCTGCAAAACCTCTCTGCCCTTCCAGAAATGGATAGAAATAAGGGACAGACTCCCGGCACTGTTTGCTGGCTGAGTGTAACACGGAGAGCCACAAACAAAGACAGTCTTTTTTCTGGACTTCCCGCCATGCAGTTAAAGCTTTTGTTGCAAGTTAGCTTCTTGCCGTCACAGCAGGCTTCTGACTATCGACATGTTCCGCTCAGTGCATCGATCATCAGGATCCAAAACAGCACAGAAAAGAGAGGTTTGCGTGGCATGCCAAGTCAAACGGCCGCAGTTTGGTTTGTGAGACACCCTCTGCCTGATGTGCCCCACAGACCGTAGGGTGCATGGCCCATAGAGTGCAACCTGCCCCCCACTTTGTACTCCCATAGGTGTCCCAACGTCACCCAAGAGATGCCCACCATCCTGCCTCTTCTTGTCGACGGGAGCAGAGTTTGCTGCCCATCCCTCAGCCTGACGCTTGAGTAGACCTGTTGGCAGCACTGGATGTTTTAGGACCCTAAACCAGCATATTTGGCAACTTAGAGAAGCTGCCAAACAACTTTCATCCGCATCTTTCTGTCTGTCGTATGGGAATAACTTCGGCCTGCCTTATTGGACGGTTGGAGGGAGAATTGAGATAATAAGACCTTCACTCAATAGATACTGAACAGGGCGATAGTCCCCGCTGGTGCTCTGAACTGGAATATAAGGTCTGATCAAATAAGCAAGTTGTCTAGAGGGTCTTGAGGGAGGCCATGGATGACGGCTGACATTGCGTCCCACCTCAAGAAGCCATCTCAGAGCCACTTCGTCTCACAGCCCTGAAATCCATGATTAATATAACTGCAAGAAGGAAAGGGGTGGGGGGGACCCTCAATCAACAGAAGCCGTAATCAGTGCAATAAAAATAAATCCCACAAAAGCAGGGCCATTACAGCCCCCGTTGGGGACTTAGAAAAAAACAATAACCCAGATTTCTGTGCCATCACTTTTCAATCCCTCAGTGACACAAGAACCAGCCAGTGTTTTTTTTAATGCTTCCATCTGTTTTCTTTAAGGGTCCTGGCATGGAGCATCTGCTTTGCAAATGGGTAAGCTGAGGCAATGATGATTTTGCTGTATTATTAGGACTGTGCAGCCAAATAAACAGTCCCTCTTGTTCTTCCAGTGGAGGCAAATGGTGGGGGGGGGAGCGGGGGGCAGATCTTCACTACTGGTGCTTCCCCGACAGTGCTTCCCGCCCCTTGAGATCGGCGGCAGAAGCCCTCCTTCGGGAACCCTCCGTGAAAGGTATTAGGAGGGTGAGTACCCAGAGGAGGGCTTTCTCTGCGGTGGCGCCCCATCTGTGGAATGTGCTCCCCAGAGAGGTCCGCCTGGTGCCATCATTATTTGTTTTTCAGCGTCAGGCCAAGACCTTTTTATTTAAACCTTTTTATTTTAATTGTTAATTGTTGTCTTTATTTATTGGTTTTTATATTTGTGCCGAGATGTATTCGGATTTTTAAGGTTAATTGTATGTTTGTTTATTTGCTTTGTAAGCCACCCCGAGGCTTTTTCCGAATGGGGTGGCATAAAAATGTGCTAAATAAATAAATTAAGTTATTGGAGCTGAACAACCTGCCTTTTGGTATTCTGCATGAACCTGGGAGTGTTGTTATCATTTTGAGTTTAGGTTCCAGTCGAATGCTCAAAAAAAAGTACCAAAGGAATATTGTATTCATGCCATGCCTGTTTGACTTTCCAAATACACAGCAAACTGGCAGTAAATGTGAATCGTCGTCTTTTGATAATGATTATTTTGCTTTGCAGTATTAGTTGCACCCTTGTGGGCAAGGACTCGGCCCTGCTTTCAGCAGCAGCTCTTGATTAAATGTTTGATTGTGTTGGTGCTGGTTTAATATTTTTACAGAAGACCCTCATCTGGTTCTCATTTTCCTCGTCATTCACACACATATATTTTGCAGACTGCAACGGACAATCCTGGCTCTCGCAGAGAAACTGGCAGCCGTCTTTCTCTCTTTTGTAAGTGAATAAATTTAAGAAATGCTGGCAAAGCAATTTTATCGGAGATGCATAAAATAAACTGGAATAATAATGATGATAAACTCAGGGAATCCACCACAGTGCTTTACTCACTTGTCCGGAAGATAATAGTGGAAGTCCATTGCTATAATGTTGCTGTTATGGCTGGAAACAGGTTAATACAAATAACTGTTGTTTATTAACCTCAGCTTAACAAAAGATAGAATGTGCTGTTGTGGAACGTTCTGGTTTGTGATTATGTTTCTCAAGAAGTAAGTACTTCCAGACTCCTCCACTGGATTTTTTTTTTTTTTTAGAGTAAGTTAGAAGATTTAAAAAACACATGAAGACAAGAGAATTCTTTCCTAAACCTATCCTACATTCAAAAGCTTATAAGGTTAGGAAATTGCATGCAGGTAAATATGGAATGATTTTATTGGAATGCTAGAAACACAATTATCCTAAACTTCTGCATTTTAAAAATGCATCAGCTGCCTTCTAGTATCATAAATATATAATTACATCTCCACTGTTAAAACTAGTTTCTATTCCAGGCTGTACACTTTTCCAGTGCCCTCCCAGAGACACACACCAAGCTTGATCGTCTTCATCCATGGGAAAAACAATTTACATCGAACCAAATAACAAACCCTATTGCTTAATAACAGGCTTATTGTTTCATAATTAGAATATCCAGTAGTCATTAGATTGCTTAGGTCCATAGCGTCTCAAAATACGATGCATATCTAATTATTAGTGGCTGAGGAAGCTGATTTTTCCTTCCACCCCTGCAGTGATGAATGTGCCTGGAGGTGCCTGTGGCGCGTCTATGGAAGACTCGAGGGACGTTAACAGCCTGCAGGACTGACCTGGCCTGAGATGCGAGATCATCAGTGCGTCCTGTAAGCGGAGGTGAGGATGGAGACTGGGATATCCGGATGATACGAGAAATTCAGCCATCAAGGCTCTTTGGGGGAGCTGGCCGCAGGGCTAATATAAACCCCCTTTTTGGATGCATACGTTTGCAACGGTTTTGCTCAGATGAGGCGGACGGAAGTTCACCCTTCCGGGCCTGGGGGCAAAGGCACACCTGGCTCTTTCACGTGTTGGGAAGCTGGAGCGAAGCGGCGCAAAGGCCGCCGCCCGATCCTGAAGCGATACTTGGTCCCCAGCGCTGCTCTGCACGGAGCGGGCCCGGGGCACCGCAAACCGCGCCGGGTCCCCGCCCAGCCACGCTCGGCTGCGGCGGCGAGCGCGCCCACAATTCCCGGCATGCCCCAGGGCCGCCCGCCCCGCCCCTCGCCCCGCCCTCCCGGTTGCCATGGGCACCGCCGGGACGCGGGGCGGCCTGCAAGGCGAGCGGGAGGCCCGGTAGGCGCTTTGCGGGGGCGCGGGATGGCGGCGGAGACGGTGCGCCCCCCCCCCCCGCTTCGCCCCCAGCGCCTTTTCCCAGCCTGGGCTTGGGGGGGGGGCGGCTGGACGACTGCAGACCCGGCCCCCTTCCTCTGCTCCCCCCGCGCAAGCGAGGCTGCCCCGTTGCAGTTGCGGGGGCCACGTGGCTGGGAAAAGCGGCCCCCGGGTGGGGGGGCAAGGGAGGGCTGATCCCCCCTGCAGTACCCCGCCCCAGGGACGCCCCCCGGGTCCAGCCGTCGCCCCCGCCGGCAGCAACAGCAGCGTCTTCCCGCCGCTGCTGTGCAGGCCATTTCCCGCACCAAAGACAGCTGCATTTAGGAAGGAGGAGGCAGGAGCGCACAAGGGAAGTGGGGCGGAGGGAGAAGGTCGAGGGGAGAGAACCGCTCTTCGTGCTCAGAAGGAAGCAGAGAGCTATAATTCGTTTCCTGTATCTAGTTCAGGCCCAGTGGATCTTCCATGTATTTCATTTCATTTATTACGTTTATATGCTGCCAGCTTAAAAAAGAAAAACAAATACATATTCCAAACAAATGCAATGATACATTAGAGCAATACAATCAAGCAATACAACATTTAACTATAAACAACACCAAATCAAAGCAAACCTTAGTACAATTATATAATATGTAATACATAATATCTTTCCTTACTGTCATTCTTGGTTGAACAACACTTGACAACTCTTGTTCCTTTGGCGGATGGACTGGGTCCTGTGAGCTTCCACCTTCAGGACTTTGTCCCACGTTGGCTCTGCACATTGAGAAATCTGGCATGTGTTTGTGATAAAATGATGTTGTCTTAGAGCCTGAGCAGTAGGCTGTTTGTTGTGCACGGGTCACACTGGTTAGCAATTCCAGTTTCCTTCACTTCCCGTAAAAGGAGGGACAGTGGGTATAACAATTCCTTGAGCTTGTAGCACCATGACCCCTAGCCCCTTCTCAGAAGTGCAGTGTCCAGAGATGTTTCAGGCAAAGTTGTAATAGTTCATTTGTTTGATGTGTATAGTGTACGCAGCTCAAAAACCGCATTAAAAAGGACTGCAGTAAAATGATCGGCCTATCTCAACCACAAGATGGCAAGCATTAAACACTATGAAACATTAGGTGATATTTTAACTTTATCTTTTACCTTCTTCCTTCCTTCCTTCATCCAGGTTTAATCAGCATTGGAGGTTCAAGATGTCTAAACAGCAAGAAGAAGAGGATTTGCAGAAGTTTCTTAAGGACGTGGATGAAATTAGTAAGTGGGCTGTGAATACTCAAAACAGAGCTACCCTTGTTGAACATAGTCAGCACATGTGTTGAGCGTAGTCGGCATAGCCCACCCAAAGCATTTTTGTTACGGTAACTAGGACCCCAGGTACAATCACTGCAAGGTCCGGTTGCGGAATGCTCTGGGTGCAGGTTCTTCATTTTCAGAGAAGACTCCCTTTAGCTGGAACTGGGGAGATGAAAATAGCTGCTAAACCAAATTTATTTGCAGCACTTCAAACTAGCTGTAAACATCATTAGCCGGCGTTAATGCAGCAGAAAATGACCTTGTTGTCAACATTAGCTTTAGATGCTATTAGAAATGGCTGAGCAGGGACTAGGAATCCAGTCGCCGCAGCCCCGGCCCCACGCTCTTAACCACTACCCCACAGTGGCCCTCTGTTCACGACGCCTAGGACGTATCCCCTCCTCCTCCTCCGGAACTCAGGTCTGTGCACACGCAGTTCCCTGTCAGCCTCTCATTCAGTGCTGATCACATCGGCCTTCAGAACACGCCCGAGAAAAGGACCCCATGGCACCTTGAGGAATAGTTTCAATTCTGGGACGTGCTTTTATGGTCCCCCTGCATCAAGTATTCTTTAAGGTATCATGAGACTCCTGGTGTCCCCTGTAGCTTGCCATCTCTGGTGAAATTAAATGCTGCATCCCTGCGTTTTGGAGTTATAACGACTGGTTTGAATGGATTTAAAAATTGTAGGTGTTACAAAACAATGCAGCAATGTATTGTTTACTTCTGTGCCATGTTTTTCAAACTTTTCTCTGACCATTCGGAGATTATGGAAATTGCAGCCTGGAGAAGAGGTCTCAAAAGCACCAAGAGCAATAAACAGATTTATTGAAATAACTTTTTCTTCTAGGAGGTTATAGAAGTACAATAGCAAATGTCCAGACAGTTGATGACAAGTGAATGCAGTATGACAGGCATGTCTGAGAAGTTTGACTGTCAGTATTCAGTGGATTTATTTGTTCCCTCTGTCAAAATCATTTCCTTAAAAAATACTCTCATGAAAATCAATAATTCAAGAGCTTTTGGTTTCCTAAGCTTGCATTGTCTCATCACCGTAAAAGATCTGGGTAGGCATCTTGATTGCTAATTTCATCTGAGAAATTTGAAAACTTGTGCAAACATTTCTTTATGTAAAGAAGATAATCCTGACCCTGAGACTTAGCAAAAAAAAAAAAGCACAACTTTAAATATGAATAGCAAATCACTGTGGAGAACACACCTTGTAGTAAAACAATGAAGAGTGCAGATTTACACCATGTAGCAGGAAATGTGGGTCTCAAGTATAATTCCCCCGGAAGGTTTGCTATTCTTACATAAAATTGCCAAATACGCCTACACTCATTTGAAAACTGTGAGCTAGTATTATAAAAATGATGTCCTTTGGGGATTTTTTGTATCCTTTCTGAGCTGCAGTAACGTGATCCACATTGGCTAGCCTTTGATTAATTGTACCCACTGCACTTTCAAATTTAATCTCCAGCTCTGAGATTCATACAAAGACTGTCATGTTTGCCTTTTCTGGCATTAACCCCCTTTCATTCTTTTCACTTTCTTCTAGGGGACCCAAAACTACTACTTAAACAGATTTTGTATTTCCAAAGGGAGCATAGCCCCGCCCCTCCCAATTTCATTATGGGTTCGGTAGCTTAACCTCAGAGAGGGCCTGGAGGGGCACCCCAGTGGCCGGGGGAAAGGAGCGCCGAAACTGTAGTATAGCACATGCACCCCCTGCAAAGAGCTCTGCAGGATGTCCAGAAATGCTCGTCCTGCAGACATGCAGAGTGGGGAACAGGGAGGCCAATACTGGCCCCCGTGCCAGGTTTGGATTGCACCCGGCCTCCCTCCCTCCCTCCCTCCCTCCCTCCCTCCCTCCCTCCCTCCCGAGTTTTGCATTTTTGCGTGCTTCGGTGAATGTTTGTTCAATGCTTTAATTTAAAGCAGCGTGCTCCAGTGATAATGATGTTCTACATTCATTATGCATCATATCATCATTTCATAACTCCAGAGATTGCTCCAATCTGTCACAAGGATAAATCAAGGATATAACATGTGTTTGGAGGTGCAGCATGGGGGAGAAAGACACAAGGCAAACCTCACCGAGCCATCGGGGCCTCCTTGAATGTTCCAGCAACACTGGGAGCTTCAGTGGAAGCTTGGGTTCCACTGCTGCCTGCATTACTGAAGGGGTCTAGGCAGGGGCTGATGGGTCATGTGGGAAGGCAGGAAAAGGAAAACCTGTGTCGTCGTTTGTTTCAGCTTGGCTTTTTTCTCTCGCCTCACCCCTGGCAATGTTTTACATCACTTTTCTAATTCACCGCTCAGCAAAGTGTCCGTTTTTGCTTGGCTCATCCATTTTCCTGTGAAGATGAACACAACAAAGCCAGAACTTCGATGTGAGCAGGCATCCAGAACAGCCAATCTGTTTCCCAAAGATAAAATGCTGACTTTAGAATTAAATCTTGGCCTAGTTGCACTGCCTCAAAAAACATTTTCCTTTTCCTATCTTCTGGGACACTCCACAGGTGCTGTTTACCATGCCATGTTCTGGCAGAAGACGCAGACTAAATCTGAGCTGGGCAATTTGTCCAGCCCTGAGGTCCACATCAGAAAGGTATTTTGAGCCAGAGGGTAGCAGCTGGTTTGCATCTTTGAGATGAATGCAGTTAATATGACTTCCAAGTCCTTGCTTTGATCACAGCAACTGCCAACCTGCAGCTAATGATGAGTTGCACCTGATTCCTAAGTCCATGGAAGTTTTTTTTTTTTTTTTTAAAGAAACAAATCACACAAAAATCTAAAGGGGCTTTTTGAGGGAAGATAATTTGCAATATTGTGGACATTTTTTTCTGCTGTTGAAGTTTAATGTGTACCTTTGCTACCGTGGGACTAAGAAACATATTTTGGGAAATGGCATAGTTGTATATTTAAGTGAATCCTGTCACCCCTTGAAAGTGTCTGGGATATTTTGAATTTCCAGATCTGAGGTCAGACGTGGCACCTCGGCTGTGGAGTTTTTCTACGGTTGTTATAATGTTAACTGTGGTTTAGTGCAACACCCAAGACAGGCTGGCATCTTTCCAGGGACAGGCACAACTTATGAAGGGATGTCATAGCCTTAATACTCTCAGATCTTCCTGGAAGGCATTTCCTTAGAATAATTTTTATTCACCCAGGCTTTCAAAACTCTGATTGATATAGCCGTTACCTTGTTGCTGTAGTTTTTATGATGTTCTGCTTGTTATTATCCTGCTGCTTGTATTGTTCCACTACATGTTGATGTGTTTATTTTGTTCTTTATTTTGTATATATATTATTTGAGCTTCTCTGGGAATAGTGTGAGCTATATATTTTGAAAATAGGGCCATGTACAAATAAAATCAGCTTCATGACTCAGGCTTTTGCTCTGGCTTCATCTTAAGCCACTTTGCTCCACATTTATTCATCGTTCTTGCTGTTTCAGCCAACTTGATTCAAGGCCTGAATTCCACTGATCCTGCCATCCAGGAGAAAGCCATCACAGAAACAGAGAAAAAGCTCCTCTCCACCACCACCAAGGATGAAAATAAGCACAAACCTAAACAAGACAGAACACTTATCAACAAACAACCTCTGGTAAATGAGCTGCAGCTTTTCCTTTGAAGACGTTGGAAACTTCATATAATTGGAAAGTTATCTTTAAGTCATTTTACAGCATTAGATATTCAAGTGGCTATTAATTACAGTCACTATGTGTACTTTTTGTTGACTTCGTCCTTGATCTACATGGAAGAATCATTTTAGGGCTTGCTTTTGGTTGATAATTGCTGTATCATTTTCCCAATATTCTTTAAACTCCAAAGGCATTTCTCATTTATTATATTTCTATACCACCCATTAGCCCAAAGGCTCCCTGGGTGGTTTACAAATCAAAATTACAATAATTAATATAAAGTACATGATAAAAATCACAGCAAAGCAATTAATAAATACCTCAAACCCTTAATAGGATAAAGGGTGGCGGATAAATGTTTCAAAGAATTAAACAGTAAACTAATTTAACTTGGTTCTGTTTATGTTTTGTTGTGAACTGATAGACAAACCCGTTCAAGATAGACCCCTTAATCAGTTTATCATTGTAAGTGGGAGCTTTCTTCAAAGAAGGACTTTAATTATAAAAGGTACAGCAACATGCCATTTCTGCTGCTAAAGCATCAGCCTACAGCTGCAATTTGCCCAATTGAAGTGTCTTCAGAATTCTTGCCAAATTGATTTTTGTATCCTAAGTCTATGAATTATTGGGCTTTTTGTTTGTTTTCTTTCCTTCCTGTGGCTTTTTGAGGCTATTGGTGGAATTAATTTTGACAGCTCTGGAAATGCTGCTGTTCTTTTTGAGATGTAGGTTATTATGGCATTTTGTTTTAAGTGGCTTTGAAAAATGAGCCTGACGCATTTTCCACACTTATTCTTTTCATGAAGCAACTACTTTTAAAAATAAAATGGAACAATAGGTTACTGCACACCCTTTCTTATTCTTTAACTTGCCTTTTCTTTTTGTAGGGTTTGCCAAATCTAGAGGACACCTTGAATCCAGGTAAGAGGCTGGATAGGTTAGTCCATTGTATTTTGAATTAGGCTGCCAGAGGAATCTCTGTGATACTGAAATTATACAAACTATATGTGCATGGATTGAGAGTGGCCTTTAGCACAGATTTTCTCATTTTCCTGTTGTTAATCTATTTCAGCTTGTGCCCTGAAGGCCAAGAAAGTGAGATCCCAAGACATCCCTCTTCATGGTGAGGGAGGAGAGGAGGAAGAGCAGATGCTCTTTTGTACATTGGCCTAAAGACTGGCGGTGCCGCCAGAGGCCCTGTGAGGGGAGACCGTTATGCTAGTGACAGTTGTGCCACACGTTGCAAGTATCCTACAATCCTTTGCACGGGACGAGGATGGGAATTACTGGTGTGTCACCTGACCTGTTCCCTCACCCCCGTGGTTTGGCACTTTCTATGCTTAATAGATGGAATGGAGTCCAAGTTTCTCATGTATCAGGACACCCTGTATGGCCACTTGTTCTCTCAGTCATCTGCATAGCAAGTCCAGCTGGCTTAATCTGCAGTCTGTCCACTTCATTGTTTTAATCACTCCATTACCGAGAAATTGGAAAGCCTCAGTCTCCTAGAAAAGTAGTTCTTTTCAAATGCAGGGTTTAACTCACTACCAGCACTATCACTCTCCATAAATGGAAGCTTATTACTCCTGTTCTGATTTGGTGTCACATTAATGAAATAGTCCCTTTTGATTTCTGTTTCATGTTGCAGAAATGACTCTGCTGTGCAATTTGACTTTTTCTTTTTAACGATCAAACCCTTTTCTTCTCACGGAGCTTCTGTCTTCACTCTGTTGGCTTTTAGAGAGTTTCATGACTTCTTTAGAAAAGGATGCCGAAGAGCGAGCAAGGAGAAGGAAGGAAAATGAAGCCTTAGCCAACGGTAACAGTTGGACAGCAATACTCCAGGGCTGGGGTTGGGCATGTCCGGAATGGAATCTGTTGCGCTGGGATTCAAGTTAAGTCTCTCACAGTAAGACACTTGAAGACATTGAAGGATGACCTGCATGTGTTCCAACCTCCCAGCAACCCTTCGAACAGCACAGTTAAGGCTTTCCATTTGTCTAAGAGGAATTCGTTGCTCATCTTATCGTGTATCATCAATTGTGGCTAACCATAGTCGAATATTTTATCACATCAGTTTATCAAAGCCCAGCAATAACGATGGGAGTTGATGGTAACCATTTAGGAGAGTCTTCCTGCCCAAGATCGGCCTGGTGGGCCTGGATCAAGAAGGCAGCGCGTGCCTTGTTTGATGCCATCCTACTCCTAACCATCACCTTTCTGTGTCCTTTCCAGTCATCAGTCTCAGAATGCATTTTGTGTGTCTGTATTTATCATCTCTGCAGCACTGAAAGAAAAGGGGAATGATGCTTTCAGCAAGGGGGACTATGCACTGGCCATCAAGAAATACACTGAAGGTCTAAAGAAGCAGAAAGATATGCAGGTGCTGTACACCAACAGAGCACAGGTCAGCGGAAGGGAAAGGACAACCACCCCATCCCCATCCCCGCTGCAAGTGCAAAATGACCCGTGCTCTTCCTGAGACACCTTCATGTAAAGGTCATTAGTCCCTGCTCGATCTCCTGCATCTGAGACATGCTCAGTGGCTTTATGCATTGTGGCTCCCCGGTGTGCGTGGCCTTCACGAGGCCCCATCCCGCTCCTGGCAGACCCTCCCTGCATCCCCCACTGCATTGCTTCTCCAGTGGGATGGCGCAGTTGAAGGTTCATGACTGCTGGCTAGAAGACGTACGACTGCGCTTTAAGTGGATTTGAAAAACACTGTTAATCCATAACACTTTAATTCAGTATTGCTGACACTGCTGTCTATTATGTTTTGCTGTTTTATTGACTGAGGTGTTGCTGTTTTTATTATATTAACTTAAGCCATCGTGTGATGAATCGGTTTTTTAAAGGCAGGGTATGAATCCGTGAAATTAACCTCTTGTGCTGTTTCCCGTCATAGAGACAATCCGGATTAGTGTTGTGTTGGCAAAGGATGACAAGGTTGTGACAGTCTCTGCTGAAAGTACCTGTTTTGGTGTAATAGCTGTCTGTGGCATTCTGTCGGATAAACACTGGTTTGGGGCCACTGCTAATTTTTCAAGCAAAATTAGCATTTCAGTTTCTCCTTTGGATTGTGGACGAATGTGCAGCAGCTTGGCACAAAGGAGAGATCCAGCATTCTTGGGCCTTTCTGAAATCTGGGCATGTTCCAGATGAGCTGCAGATGCCATGCAGTGCTTCTTTCACCTTTCAGTTTCCTTATAATAGGATTTGATGGATTTTGTTTCTTGCCGTGTTCTTAACAATGAATATTAATAGGATATTTAGGAGAAGAGATGATAGGAAGTTACTAAACAAAGACTGCAGCCTCTGCTCGTTGGAAGGACTTGTTCCGTTCCTCTCATCTTGTATTAAGCTCTTAAAAGAGGGCGCGGATCAGCTCTTGGTGCTGTTGTTGTCCCGAGAAGTGCCAGAAAAGCAGCTGAACTCTCTGTTCGTCTGAAGCTCCGGCATGGCTAGAGGCCATGTCTGTCCATGGTTTCTAGGCAGCTGTATTGAAATTGCACTGAATTACCAATTGGTGTCAAGGCTTTGAGGGATATCCCAGGATCTCCACTAGCCGTGGGGGTCGATTGCTGGTCCCAGCATGTAGTGAGGTTTGGAAGATATCCCCGTCTAATTCGGCCTTTGGCAGCTGGTCAGTCCTGACGCTTGGAGGCTTCCTCTGGGGAGCATGGGGTGAGTCCAGGACAGGCTCCTTGCCTTGGCTTATCACTCTAATTTGATGAGCTCTGTGCTAAGAAAGCTGCATGTAAATGCCCTGCCTGGAAACCTGGTTTAAAACCTCCGTGCCATTTTGTTTCAGGCCTACCTGAAGTTGCAGAACTATGAAAAAGCCATCAGTGACTGTGACTGGGCCTTAAGGGTAAGAGCCTCCTCTCCTTCTCCACTCCCCAGGGTTAAAGAGGGGAAGCGGGTGGCCAGAGGAGCCAAGCTGCATGGCAAGGGTGGCCTCTAGCTGACCCAGAAGATCAGAGAGGACTCCTCCGCCTTTCCAAACATCTCTGCTCCATGGGGCTTCATTTCCACGCATGCTTTCATTGTTTTGAGATGGCACGGCCGACATGGCTTCCCTTCCGCTTCTGCCTCCCTCCAGCCCTTGTTGGCTTCAGTCATTCTAGCTCCAGGGCCGTGCGCTCCCAAGAGCCAGGAGGCACATTCTCAGGAATTTCCATTGCCCTGCTTACAGAACTCCTTTGGCTTCCAGGGCTTGTGGTGCCATCTCACTCATTTTCTTTTGGAAAGAAGTCCGCTACCTCTTAGGAAGGTGTTGGAGACTTTCTGAAAGATCGTTTTCCTGTCACTTATAATACCCTCAGTGCCACTGATGGCGGGTGCGGGGGCTCTAGACTGCTGGCAAGCTGCAGCACAGCCATACCGATGCTTTCCAGACGCCTGATGGGAACCTGCCAGCTTACACACTGGCCACATTTCAGTACAATTTCGCCATGGTGGCTGAACAGTGTTGCAATGTCCTGATAGGGGATGATTTCACAGATAACAACTATCTACGCTTTTCCTTCCAAACTGAAGAGAAAAATCCCCTTTTTCTAATGGCAAGGGGTTGTACAAGTGCAGCATTTGGTGGCCAAGAGCGTTACTGACTAGCCTCAGAGAGAAGCAGAACAACAGACCATTATTACCAACACTTGGGTGTCCAGAGACATTTTCAAATGTGGTTTGCCCAGAAATGCTGTTGGTTCTTCCCTGCCCTGCTTGTGTTGCTTCAGATCCCCTTGAGGTTTGTGTCTTTAGCAGCCAGAAGTGGCCTTCCTTCTGGGAAGGGACAGGGAATGCACAAATGCCTGGATTTTACTTTAGTCCAGTGCGGCACTTTGGCTTGAAAAAGGAACCTAATGATGATTCTCTAAAAGTACAGAACAATTGCTGGTTTGTGAGGAAAGGCAGCTGCTGCTATGTAGTACTGGGACACCATGCTCTGTAAGTTTTACTAAATAATTCTCTTTAATATAGTGCGATGAAAAATGTATCAAAGCTCTTTTCCACATGGGGAAAGCATACCTGGCCCAGAAACAGTACCCTAAGGTAAGGTCTGTGAATTTGCAGGCGTTTATGTCAGTTCTTGTGTAGCAACTTAGTCCTGTGTAAATATAACATTTTGCCATTGTTTATTTTGTTACCTGGAATTATAGCAGTGTCAGCTCAACTAACGTGCACTTATCGTGATGTGTCACTAGCTTTGAGACAGAATAGGAAACAAGCAAGCATCCCAACCTTCATGAAATCATATTCAGACAGTGTAGCCGTGTTCCTTTTGCAATTAATGTCTTGACTAAGATATTGAATGGCATTTTAAAGGGAAGTATTTTGTATTCTCCGATAGCCATAAGCTAAGAAGGAAAAACTGGGGAGGGCATTGCTGTATGATTTGGAAACACCTACCTTTCTTCTAGGTTCCAAAGTTTCCTTTTCATGCCAGTTTACCTTAGGGACAAAGTAGGCGTGACGCTAAATACATTTAATGTGCAGGCTTCTAAAGTACGCATTGTATCATAATGTGTGCACGCACGCATTAGTAATTATCCACTGTCCTTTAATTGCCCCGTCTAAAGCCCTGTCTTGTCCTTTAAGTCCAGAGAGTGCTACCTGAAGATTTTAGAAATAGATCCCCAAACACAGAAGTTGTGCAAAGGTAAGCCGCCTAATGGTGCGTCGTCATTCTGCCTCTAGCTTCTGGCTATCAGCTTACAGCCAAAACTAATTCCCTGTATTTTGAAACACGGCGTTTTGTGCCTTTGGCCACCCGTATCCTAGTCTCTTGCTCTTGTTCTCGTTAAATTTTGTTCCGCTTGTTCTCGCTCAGAATCCTTTGTCCCACTTGTTTCTCCATTTTGCCTCTTGGGCTTTCAGATTGCATGAATGAAGTAGACCTGGAGGAAAAAAGGCAGTACGAGGAGGAGAGGGCCCTGCGAGAGCTGGAGTCGGGCAAGCGCGAGGCCGTGTCCGTGAGCGAATTGCTCCAGAAGCTCTGCAGGCCTGATGAGAATGCCTTTTACTACGCTGGAGGGATCCAGCTTTTGACGGAAGCGATGCGAGGTGGTGAGTGCCGCGCTGGTGGGTATCCCTGCCAGGGGGAGGCAATGAGAGGTGGCAGCACAGAGACAGGGGCCTCGCATCGGAGTGGGGCTCACAGCGGCTCACCTGGAGTGCTGCTGCCAGGTAGCCCCTGAGTCCGTCATCCTGAATCCTCTGCGCCCCCTCTGTCGACACGGTGGCTTGAGTGATCCTGTTTCTTCTCACTGGGTCATGGCGAGTAGGAACTTGTCTTCTTTTGAAAAACTTCTCCGACGCGGTTATCTCCAAATCTGTTGCAGGCACTGAGCAAGCCTTGTTTAGGATGAACAATGGGTTCAGTATCATCAACGACAACGAGGTCATACGACGGTAAGGGCCCTCTCTCATCAGGAGAACGGTGGCGCGTTACAGGGCCAAGTCGTAGCGGTAGCAGGACTGTCAGCAAGAGCACCATTGACGGAATGAAATTCGGTTGAGCTGATGAGACGATAAGGGATCAGGCAGCCAGACAGTCTGCCTGACCTTCCTCACGTCCTCCACGCTCCTTCTGAAACTTAGCCATCTTGATTTGCCAGGGCTGAGGCCAAGCACAGAGCACAAGAGTATTAGATTCGGGCGCTCTTCAACACCCAGGGTCAAAGAGATCTGATGCCTTCAGCAGAAGTGTCTTTTCCAAACACAGCCCATGCTCTGTGGGCACTTGTAGCCCTTCTTCCTAACCACTGAAGCTTTAGATTCTTTAGGATCAAGGGAAAGACTCCTCCTGCAGGTTTAATATTAATTCCTTCTTCTCTTGTATGTACTGATTCTTACACTTATATCCCACCTTTTCTGGGGGACCGGGGTGAATCTGCTTGAGGAAAACCATCTCCCAAGTCTCCCAGCACTGCAGTGTGTGACATTAAACTTCTTGTCAAGCAAGAACGGTTCCAGTGGTTTTAAATTCCTCCGTCAGCTAAATCCGATGGCCAGAGGAGGCCAAGAGGCATTTTTTCCACAGATGATTCCTTTTTAATTTGGGGCACTGGAGAACCAACGAAGAGGAGAGATAAGAATGTAAAATGGATTGTAATTTGAATTGCACAGTGACTGTATGCCTTTGGTTAGGAACAAGAAATTAAAAGCTCCGTGGAAGCTGATGGGAGATGTGAGGGGGCATCAGGTTGCTGACGAAGCATCTAGGGAAATGACATGGCACACATTTGAAGCATCCAGAGCCTCTGTGGATGTTCTGTGGATGCAGGACGTGGTCCAGTGGAGCAATGCTTAGGGAACCCAGGTTCCATCTGGATGCCAGGAAGCCCTTCCTGACAGTTGGGACCCCGAGGGTGTGGAAGGGGCTTCCACGAGAGGTCGTTGAGGCCCCATTGGTGCAGGTGTTCAAGGATAGGCTGGACGTCCACATGGTGGGTGTGTCATGAGCGGAGCCAGCTGGTGCCGGGGGTCAGACTAGATGGCCCAGGAGGCCCCTTCTGACTCGCTCTGTTTCTATGTTTCTGTTGAAAGTTCTTTCCCACTTTGTTCAAATTTTGAGAAATTCCTGCTCAGGCTGTAGGGAGAATGGGATTTCCTGCTCCCGAGTATTTTGCCTTGAGCCGTCTTGTGTCTGTTTGAAACCTAATTAAATGCCTACTCAGCTTGGGAACAATTTAGGCACAAAGCGGAGATTTGCATCTCCTGGGAGTTTTCTGCTTCCTCTCTAATTAGCAGCCCCATCAGCTGCTTTGAAAATCAGGATACAGGAATGTCGAGGAAGGTTTTACAAAACTTTTACCCCTTGCTGCTTCCCTGATCTAAATTTTACCCCCTCCCCCCCACACACTGCATTGTGCTAAAAAGTCACTGTTTTCTCCTTGAGGATCACACAAGATTCAATGGTTAGGGAGTGATTCTCCTTTGGGAAAATGAGACATGGCAAAAGGTTTAATCTGTGGCTGCATACAGTATATCTAAGCAGGCCTTCTGCCCCTCAGCTTCGTTTCTTTCTAGTGGCAAATGCAATCACAGTCTCATTTAGTTGGTCCTCAATCAGATTTCTTAGAGAAGGAAACGTTTTCTATTGTAGCACATCTGGGTAAATAAACATCTTTTTTTTAACTGAACGTCCGGTCTGAGGAAAATGCCTTGCATGACTCAAGAATGTGCTCCTATCCTTTTTAAATCCAGTTTGCCCCAGTAAAAGAGCCTCACATGCTGGTCTGGTTGTTTGTTCTTTGGGAGCCTGGGCCCCTTTCCTCGACTTTTAACAACCCCATTTGTCTCCCAGGATCTTCTGCGCAAAACTGGCATCCGTTGCCGAAGTGGAGCTGTCCCTCTCCCTTCTCCTCCTGTGGCAAGCAGTCTGCAAAGGAAACGGTAATCCCCAGGAGCCAGGGTCAAGGCACTGTTCATATGACTCCAGCTACGCCCAAGAGCTGGAGTGCTGCTCCTAGGGGTCCTCCGTCAAACACATGCATGCTCCCTCCTTGCCTCCCCTTTGTGAGGCTGGAGATCCCGGCCCTTTTCCGTAAATGACAGCAGTATGGCAAGGTCATCTCTCCACACGCAGCATTCCTGAAGTAATTGGATTGCATGATGCGTCACTGGAGAGGCCGCCCTTTAGGGTTCTGAAGACCACTGATCTTCTGAAAGGCTGGCAGAGTCATCTTGGCCTGGTGAGACACCTTTCAGCTTCATGTCTGAATCACAGATTGGGCTGATGCCGAGCTTTTTCTAAAGGCGCATCTCAGGAATGACATGCTTGTGGCAAGCAGCCAGAAAAGGAAGGACCACTTTTCCTCGTGCCTCTCAAGGCGACTGGAAAAGGGGGTTCATAAAAGTAGACCTTTTGAACACAAACTCCTCCAAATTAGCTTTAATGCAAGCCTTAAATGAGGCTTGAAAGGCAGCATTAAATGAGTCATGAATGGCTTCCCATGCCTGTGTGAGCGACACGACTTGTCCTTTAGAAATGGCGGGAGGGAAGGAGAAGGGGAGAGGAGAGGCGTCATGGAGACTGTCCACAGCGCCCTTCCTTCCCCTCCACTCCATCCGACAGATCACCCAAGTTCACACGGCTGACTGGTTTGTGGCCTGCGGATGTAATTGCCCTAGAGCGCCTGGTGTAGCCGGTTGAGATGCTCTTGGTTCCTTTTGCCCCCAGAGGAGAACCAGCGCCTGCTTCTGACTCACCCGGTGGTGAATTCGCAGCTGCCCACTCTGCTGCTTTCCGAGGTGCCCAATATCCAAGAAGGCTGCATGTCCCTGCTGGCTCTCTATGCCGATACGGAGACTGGGAGGAGCCTGCTGGTCCGGCACCTGAACACAACCAAGTATGCTGCCTTCACCCCGTTTTCCTAAAGAACCAGGGCCCTCCGGCCCAGCGCGAGGTGCACATGTGAGCTGAGGTGGGGCATCATTTTTCAGATTTGGGGGAGCATTTAGCCAGCCCTAAGAGTTCGTCTTTGGATTTGAAATTCGGCCAGGCGCCCTTGACTGTTTCTCCACTTTGGTTCAGCTTCCCAAGAGTCCTGCGTTTGATCTCAGACTGCTCTGGTGGGTTTTTAGCTGCAGTTGCGTTTTAGATTATAGTGTTCTCTGGGCTAGATGCTTTATAGCTGGCATTTGTTGGCTTTAAGTATTTCTTTATATTTTTTAAATTAGTGCAGGGAATGTTATTGTGCAAGCTGTCAGGGAGGGCTCTCTCCATTTCAGGGGGGCCTAGACATGTTTTAAAGTAAGATATATATTTACCTTTGCTTTCCAGGTGGCTGCAGATGTTGATGTCCTTCATCAAGGTTTTTGACAGCAGGGCTAGCAATGCCACGGAACTGCTGACCAACTTAATCAAGGAGGAGAAGTAAGTTGCATTTCCCAGATCTCTTTGCCATCCTGATTTGGTGTTTGCAGGGGTTAGCCGAATCCAGACATAGGCACCTATCTGTTGAGGAACAAAAACCTAAAACTCAGTCTCATTTTGGTAACAGGTTCAAAACCCAGTGTCGTATCAAACTCTCTACAGAGGTGTTGCCCTTGTTCACACAGCTGCTGGTAAGAAAGCCTTCCTCTCTTGCTGGGAAACTGTTTTTGTCCCTGCTGGTCTTAGCACCAATTCTTGAAAAGTCTGGAGCCATCTGCTTTGCAGGCGTGTGATTTTGTGGGAGTAGGTGTGTGGCAAAACTGGGGACTACTTGTTTGCCTTGAGGCAGTGGGTTCATCCAGAAGTTTGGATCCCTTTGTGTACTTTTACTTGAGAAATAGCCTAGAATCAGTTTCTTGGCAATATTTGTAAACATTAAATGATGGTAAGAACATTGAAATAGAACTTTCCTTGCCACCACTGGGAAATCAGTCCGTGGCTGGTGCTTCATGCCAAGGCTGAGCTGTCTTAAACATTGTGACTGGAAATTCCCCTGTTGCTTCTTGCCTTGAGTGACACGGAGTCATCACAGTGGCTGGACAGAGCTACTTCCCTTCACCTTTCTACCCCGTTGATATTTCAGTGCCGGCCAGCAGAGTTTTGCTATTTTCCAAGAATGCACATTTTCCAAAACAATAATGAAGGATTCGTTTCAGCAAAGAGAACTTTAGAAATGCAGCAGCACCATTCCATGATTTCAGATCTGTCGGCTGTGTCGCCTTTGCGGACATTTGCAACGGGACCAGCCCACATGATGTCCCAACAGACACAAGTCTCTCTCCCTTGTCCCCAAAGTGTTCGGTGAAGACGGTGAACAGGCCTTCCCTCGCCCGGTGCATCGCCATCATGGGGGAGCTGTGCTCAGACTCGGTCTTCCGCATGCAGATGTCCGAAAGCCTGGAATGCTGGCAGGCCTGTCTGCACCTCGTGGTGAGTAGGCATGATGGTGCTGGCTTACCTAGCAGCGTTGCCTCTAGTCACCTCAACCCTTCTGCCCCAGCCGAAGCAGCTTCCTCCTTTCGCTCCCTGCCTTGCTGTCCAGTTTCAGGACCTTTCACAAGATCTGCTTGAGCTACATGTGAATTTCTGGGAGTGAAATAATAATCAAATCCAACTTTCAATGTAGTCACAGATACAGCATCCCAAAAAAGGAAAAATCCTTCGTACCACACAGGAGAAATAACTGCCATTGAAAATACTAACTTGTCAGGTTTGCTGTAGCCATTCTCTTCCATTTCTTTCATGGTTTTCCAAAAATAAGCTTTCTTATAAATCAGTCAGTCTTTATTTACTGTGCTACTGATGTATCGGGCTTTGTGCCAGCTTTCCTAACTTAATGTTCATAGTAGCAGAGCTTCTCTTCTCAGGGCTTGTACTTACTGCTCTCTACATCCATTCCCAGTGGCTCTCCAGGGTACCAGGCAGGAAAGGGGACTTCTAAGTCCAGCGTGCTGCTTCCTGAAACATTTTTAACTGAAGATTCCAGGATGGAATCTGAGCTATTTTGCTCATGCACTGCCCCTCTGGGAAGGGACTTACTGGTGAGCTTCTCCAGATCAAGGGACTAAAGCAGGCAGGGATAGCAGATGGCAGTGAGATGGGAGAAAACCTGCCTGGGCCTTGTGCTCTGATCCACTGGTCCCCTCAAACTGAACACATATGTGGAATCTTTAGGCTCGGAGTGTGAAGGATCAAAGTGCCAGAGACGAGGCTTTTTGGGGGAAGAAGTAACAAGAGCAATTGGTTGGAATGAAGGCATCTAAGGTTGTGCAATTTATTGAAAGTGTTAGAATGGAAACTGGCATTGGACTTAAAGGAAATGCAGTAGATCCAAACAGTCCGATCGACTCTAAGAAGTAGGTTAGACGGGTGTGGTAGGTGCTGGAGTGGCACTCTGGAAAAAGGTTCTAGTCCCCACTAGGCCATGACGCTCACTGGGTGATTTGGGCCAGTCGCAAGGTGGCGGTTGTGAGCATAAAATGGAGAGAAACTGGGTGAGCCTCCGTGAGTCCCTTACAAGAGGAAGAAAGGTGGGGTGGTGGTCATAAGAGCCAGTGACGCATCCGTCCGAGCAAGGCGAAGAAGCTTCTGTGCAGTTTCTGAGCCCTCAGCATGGAAGGCTCCTGCGCTGCTTTTGAGACAGAAATGGGCCTCTGGGTCCGTTCGCCGCCTGTCATTTATCAGCACATGCAGCCCCACGGTTTCGTGTTCCGCTCGTACAGGACGAATGCTGGACCGAGAACAAAGCCGCCGTGTCTCCCGAGTGTCTCTATGCAGTGCTTGGCCTGATGATGAACCTCTCTCTGGAAGACAGTTTGATCATCCAGGTAAAGCCTGAAGCTTCTCCTGCCCGAAGCTGGCTAGTCCGCTTCCCTGAGCGGCACTGCCTGGCGACGCTTCCTGCTTCTGGCACCACGCCTGTGGAGCTGCCTGGGGCCTTTATGTCCCGTGTGCCTGTACGAGCTGCTCCCCAGGGCATGTGCTCCAGCTTGAAGGCTTCCTCCCTGTGCCTGCCTTTGGCCCAGGTGGGATAACCGACCCTCTGAACAACCGGCTTCTCACCAAATCGGGCTCTTTGGGCCCCGTCCTCCGCCAGTGCGTGGGAGGCGATCCAGAGAAATCCTGCTCACTCGTTTGCTGGATGTGGGTTCCTCACATTGGTAATGGGTTCTGGCGATGGTGATGAAGACGGAGACCTTTGCTCGGCATTCCAGCCACTCCGTTCCCCCTTCATTGTCCCTCCCTCCAGCAGTTCCTCAGCAGTGCGGGGCTGTCTGATGAAAAGGTGGGGGGTGCTTGAATGCCAAGCCAGGTAGCCCTGGCAAGAAACCACGGCATGTTGGTTGTTGCCAGAAAAATTCCTGTGCGCACAAAGACGATCAGGTCCTCTGTGGGGTGTCACCCCCTCACCTTCCTCGTTGGTCTGCCAGCTGCTCCCCTGAGGGGCTTTCTGCCTAAGTTTTGCTCCCCACTGTAACTGGACATGCGTGGGGTGACCATGGCTCCCCCCTTTTCCTGATTAGCTCTCTCCCCCATAGATTGCTTTCCCCAGTCTCCCTTTTGACAGCCACCAGCAACCCCACTGACATGCCCAGGCGGCCCCCAGGAGGGGCTGCCAGGGGTTTTCCATCCATACAAAAGGTACCTCAGATGTGCAAAAATCAGTTTGTCAGTTTTAGAGAAAAGACGGAAGAATGCTCAGTTCTTCCATCCTATCCTTCCTTGCGCCCACAGGGGTGCACATGTAGCGAATACATACACACCTTTCCTTCTTCCCAAACCCGATTCTGTCCCATGGAAGCCAACGTTCTAACCCTAATTATTGTTACAGGAACGGGAAGAAGAAATTGTTGAGAAATGCGTGTCCCTTTTCAGCAGTAAAGATGGACGAATTGTGACGGTCAGTGCTGCTTGAGTCAAAGAAAGGCAGCCACTGCCAAACCCACAGCCTGTTTTGCCCAGTTCTGCTTTTTAGCAGGTCCGGTCTGCATCCAGTACCTCCAGCCGATAAAGCAGGGCTGTTCAGTTCTGGGGTATGACACCATCTGTCGCCCTGTGCCTGTCGCCTGATCTCGTGTATCGAGCGCATGTGACGGTTGCCAGTGCAGCGGTCCCGATCACCACGATTTCTTGTACTCTCTTACATGGATAAAATTGTTACAGAAATGCTCCTTACTTCCAAGGTGCAGGAATGTTTCAGGGATAGGGCATGTACCCGCAGGTCAATTTCCATTTGTCATGAGAGGCTTATGACTTTTCTCTGATAAGATTTATGACCAGGATAAAACGGGGGTTCACAGAAATTTCTAGGATGTCACATGTGATTTAACTTATCATTTTTTGGCATTATCAATATACTGTTTAAGTGTTTAAATGTTTTAAGAAAAATTGTTTTTTCCCCTGGATGTGATTTAGTGTGTTCCTATATCAGTCAGCAGAGCTCTCGCCTAATGGAACGATGATTTCCAAATAGGAGACATAAGTAAGTTTAGCCATTACTGTTCCTTGATCTCAGCCACAAGAGGTCAGGCTGTGCTCTGTCTGCACTTAATACCGAGAAGCCCCTGTTGCACAACTGTAATGACGCCTGGATCATTAATATGATGCCTGGCATGCTGTTTTATTTTCTGCCCTTCTAGGACTAGCAATATATGAAAAGAAAGGGCTGTCAGCTCGAGCAAAGGGCTACGGGGGGTGAACAAATATGGAAACCTGTTTTGAATGAAAAGCAAATAGTTTTTCTTCTCTGCCCCCTCCAATTTTCTTTTCGTTTAGCGGGCAGTTGGGCTGTTAAGTCACATTCTGCCACGAAGTCAAGTGGCACTGGAAGCAGCGCTGAAGCAAGGCGTGGTGAAGCAAATGGTCAAACTTCTGAAGGTAATTGGCCGGTCCAAGTTCGTACTTTACCTCCAGAGTGATTACTTCCATTCCAAGACCCTTGAAATGTCCCCGCAGAACACGCAAACATGCGGCTCTTCCTTCTTTGGGATCCGTGGGCTCAGGCACCCTGGCTGCTTCGCATCAGCCCTGCTTGTCCTGGTGCTCAGCTGTTCTGTGGCGTTCGCTCTTTCTGTCTGAGCAGTGCTGCGGCCTCGTGAGAGCAGTCCTGGTGCTGGAAGGGCTGCTCCCCTGGACATTCAGTGTGCAGTGAAGCCTGCCCATTGATGGGTTTATTTCCTCGTCAGCAATGCCCCTTAAACAGCATTGTTAGAACTGCAGATTTATTCTTGCCTCTAATCCTGTTAAAATGCACACATTGTATGCCACCACTTAGATCCTGAGTCCTATTACAAGGCTTTGCCTGGGCTAAAGTATAATATATTTAAAGCGGGAAGAAAGGTATAAATCTCGGCTTGCCTGGAGACTTCACGATCTGATACCCTTTTGTGAAGCATGCATAAGCAGCTGCGACATTTCCCCTGGGAAGTGAGCATTTCCTGGCTCCCTTCTAGGTTGGTGGACAAGTCACGTCTGGCTATGCGATGAAGACGCTTGCTGTGTGTGCCAAAAGCGGTCGGCGGGCGCAGGAGCAGATTGTGAAGTCTGACAAAAGTAAGTGCCAGCCCCTCTTTGTAAACTGGGAAAGCCCCGCTGGCCGGCCCCTTGGTTGTCTTCGGGGGGGAAGCAGAGGTCCTCCCCTGTTCTGTGCTGGGGGACCTCCATTTCCACACAACACCACCTCCACACATTCTTAATGCACACTTTTGGGAAATAGTTTTGTGCACACAACCAATTCTGTCCTGGAGGAAAAGGCAGCATCTCACATCTGCCACACAAATGTGAAGGGATATCCATACAAGAGAACCGGGAGGAGTTTGGCCGTCACCCCAGCTCTTCCAGGCTTTCGGTGGTTGGTGTGTGCCTGTTGGCGGCTAGTGTGCGATTGCTTTCCCTCACGTTGTTACGGGGTGGGCAGTGCTGCTTTGGCAGCCGTTTAGCAGCCGTTTCAGAAGATGGGCGAAGGCATAAAACCAGGTGGTTCGTCACGGAAATGGGGGCTTCAGAGCAATCCTGCCCTGCCTTTCTCCTGGTTTCAGCTCCAGGATTCCCTCATGGGCAATGGCATTGGGCCTTTTTGCCAGCGCAGATCCCCCTGCCAGCTCTCAGACCTAGCACTAAACTGCTGTCCAGCCGAGCCAGCCTCTGGGTCAGCTGGTAAAAAGCGAGTGCTGGTGGAGCCGTGACGTGGGGGCTGCTCCTGGCACTTTCCACCCTCCCTCTACGTGGCTGAAGCATCGCTGCTTTCCTCCTCGTCTCCTTCTTCCTGGCAGCCATTGTGGTTTGGCACTGAGGGCTCCTTTGCTCTCTCATTGAGATTAGCATGGCATCGCTTCGGCCTTGTCTCCCTCTCCCCTCGCCCAGAGTGCAGCACGTTGCTGAAGCTCCTGCGCTCACCGAATGAAGCGGTGGTGGGAAATGCCGCTTTCTGCCTCGGGAGGTGCCTTGAGGTGCCTGGGACGGCCACGAACTTGCTGGACACGGACGTCGTAAGGTTACTATTGAAAGTCGCCGGTGGGGACGCCAAGAAAACGTCTGTGCAAGAGAACGCATCCATTGCCTTGGGGAAGCTCTGCACGGCCGATGCCAGGTATCCCTAGGAGCTGTCTGCTCCAGGATTGTCCGCAGTCACTCTGTCCAGCTTCGTGGCAGCAGCTGCTGTGGTAGGCCTGGCCAGCAGGGGATTGTTTGCACGTGTGCGAGACGGTTGCTCGAATGTTCTGACACCCCCCGGCCCAGCGGTAGCTTATTGCATCTCCTGCGATGCCTTTTGACGGGGGGAGCAGAGGTGGTGTGCTTGGAGCACACACACCTAGGCCATAAGAAGTGGGGAGCCTTCCAGGCCAAGGCACCTGCCCGCTGGCTTCACCACCGCCTCAGTTTGTACAGTTCAGCCCCCTGCAACATAGAAAAAGGGTTCCCTGGGCTGGTCCTGCAGATCTTGTTTTCCAGCTGTTATCGGACGCCACAGGGATGACGATGTCTTTCCAGCTGAAAAGCCACCATGGCCAGAACTGCGCCTGATTCACCCTCCCACGATGTCTTGGGCAGAGTGGCCGAGGCCGTTTCTGTACATGCCGGTGCCGAGAGGATCGGCTGGATTTTCCATGGATTTTCCAAAGGGAGCAGCTTCCCTCTTTTAGAGCGCAGAACCTGGCTGCAAAGGGCTTGAGCAGGGAGAATCACCCTGTGCAAACAAGATTGAAACACTCTGCTTAATAATCAGCCATGGTGGTAAATGAGGAGCATCTCAGGGTACCATAAAGCATGACTGTTTTTGACATTAACATTCTTTTTTAATTTTTTTAAATCAATAACAAAAGAATCAAATTCATGACATGAGTATTTGGTACAATTTCCATACTAGTTTATATTTTTCTTTTATTCTTTCTGAGATTTATTTTAATATTCCTTCATCCCACATGTTTTCCCACTCTTCATTACTTATGTTCCTTCTTAAGTCTGTTTCCTGTGATACATTAAGAAGACCATATTAATCCTCCTCTTCTAATAATATCTTACCAATTTTACTTATTATCCCTTTCATTCACATACCGTCTTGTTTTTCCACTCTTCATGTCTTCAAATTTAGTGTAATCTCTACATCTACCATTTTTCTTTAACCAGTCTTTAGTCCAATGTTCCAATTGAATCACACTAAACCAAGTTATTTTTCACCTTCTAATCCAACCTTTATCTTTTCCTTATTATTCACTTTCTCTGACCAGTCTCTTAACTTAATAATTTGTTTATTCTTCAATATTTTCCACAAACGTCCTTTCTAATTTACTGGGAAACCTTCTATAATTGGATATAATAGTGAAATTGGCGGCATAAATATTTCTTCAGACTTGTTCCAAATGTGTAGCATATTCTTAAGGAAAAGATGTTCTGTCTCTTTTATCCTATCCTCATGCTTGACGTGAGCATTCAACTTGTATTTGAACTGATAGTGGCCATTTTCCATCCCACCCTGGAAGGCCTGGGCTGTGTGGGCGAGCTGCTGGTGCCTCTTTCTGCCTGCGCTCATTAAGGCAGGGCAGTTTTGGCCAAGCACGTGTGCAAGGTGCCATGCTGCTGCTTTGATGGATGCGATTGGTACAGCAGGAAAGCCATGTGATGATCCGTCATGGAAATAAGACTGCATTGCACCCAGCAGCTCCGTGGCGATCGTTCGCAGGCCGTGCAATACAGTGCCTTAGGGTCTTGCGGGCAGTGGACTAGGAAGTGCAAACTCTTGAACATGGTGAGAAATTGGATGCAGCCAGTCCAACCAGCCCTTTCCCCTCCCTCCCCCAACAATCTGCCTACCGCGAAGTCATTCAGTCAGACTGGAAGGAAAAATAAAAGCTTTTCTGTTTGGCTTGTTGGGAAATCTATTGTCCGTGGCGTGCAGGTGCTTCTGAACCTCCTCTCTGCACTCTGAGTGAATGACATGAAAAGCCGTCTCCTGCCCCGTCATTATCCTTAATCCTGCTGTCCCACTACGGTTTTTGCAGGCACACCAGCCGGCTGCGGGAGCTGAATGGAATGGCAGCCCTCAGCTCCTCCATGAAGAATGTGCAAGGGCTGTAAAGGAGCCTGCAAGTGCTCCGAAGAGAGTCCACAGTGCTGACTTGCACGGGGATGCACAGCTTTTCGTAACAAGAAGGATCGGGAGGAAAAGAGCAGTCCTGTATTTGGGAGAGAGCATGGGCAAAGTGACTAAGTTAATAAAAGGCCTTGGGCAGTTCCTGGGTTTCAGTTTCTTTGTTCAGTACCTCAGCAAAAGCATCTTTTCCACTGGTGTGATAAGAGCTGCTACATTTTAAGGGGTGTTTGAAATAGTTTCTGAATTCCATACTGGAGAAGTCTGTTTGAAAGAATCAAGGAGAAAAGGCCTTTTGAAAATTCTTGTGAGAACTGAACTGGAATGCAGTTCTCACCCATTGGCAAGCCAAGTTTGAACGGTCTGCATGCTGGGCTTTAACATACTATTCTCAGCCTACCAGTTCTCTGTTTGGCTTCCCCTTCTTATGTTCACTGGCCATTTTAGACTTACTTAGCCTCAGCAAAGCTGTTGCACGAAGAATCCTCTCCCCCTGGGTGGTTCTTAGTGCCCTTCGGGGCAGAGCCAGCAATTTCTCCATGATCACAAATTTACCATCACCTCTCATGGACTGTAACATTGTTCCCACAGCTTTGGGTGTATATGGAACACAGATAGCACTCAGTGTTTGAAGGCACCACACCAGATCTTTCTGCACCCATCTCAAGCGATGGACTGAAAGACTTTTGCAGTTCCTCTCTTCCCATCAGATGGGAAGTGTCTGTTTGCAACCGCTAGATGGCAAAATGGTTACTCGTCGAATCCGTCAGCCAAGGTGCACACCGAAAAAGTCTCAAGTGTTTCTTGACCAATGCCTCCAAACAGTTGGCTAATACAGAGTGTGCTCAGGAGATTGTGTGTAGCCACACTGGACCAGAGGTGTGCGATTGCAGGGGCGTTAAGGCCCAGTGTACAGGTCAGAGAGACTCCTACTGATGTGTCCTCAGACTGATTTTCCAAAACGTAAGGAAGGGTGCGATGAAGTAGGAGGATGAGGCTTAGCCATGGAAATCGCACTTCAGGTGGTCGCTGGTTCTAGACGTAGAATTGCCTGATCAATGAGCTAATAAGAATTTATGCTCTCTTAAAACTACGTAAAATCTTTAATGAAGTCAAAGTTGGTGTCTCCAGTGTAAAAAAAGATGTATGTGTGACAGGGACTTGCACTTGGACCATTTAGCATAATAAGAGAAATGAGGCAAGTTTTCAGTCACCTGAGCTGCACCAGCTGGGATAAAGAGAAAGGTTTTGACAGTGAGGCTGAGGCTGAGGCTGCTTCACTTTGCTCGTCCTGTCTCGGTTGGTCTCAGTTCAGTTTGGCTCGTTTCGTTTGGTGTTCTAACCTGACTGATTTAAGAAGTTGCAAACGACTACTTAGGAAATGTGCTGCGAGTCTGGCCCATTTATCTCAGAGGGTTTTCCAAGCCGGGAACAGCGAATAATACCTGCCCTGAGTTGCGGCAGGAACAGTAGTGACAGCAAGAAGCACTGGTGGATTGGGAAGAGGATTCCAAGGAGCACCAGACTCATGGTGGCAACACGTCCCCGTGAAGCTTTGAGGTGCTCCTGGATGCAGCTCTGTCAGTTGTCTAAATATCCACAGTTGCAGAGTATTTTTTACCAGTCTGGGCTGGTTTCCCAGTTGTAGCCATTTTGGAACTAGGATATTCTAACCAGGGTTATCCATTCAATAGCAATCTCCCAACTGGATTATAGCAATTGAAGTTGTCCTGGAAGACCCACTTGGTCCAGAAAATGGTGGCCAGGCCATATGAAGTTTGTTGATTTAATATTACTTTATTGTGAAGTATTTTTAAATCGTGCACCATCCTGAAAGCTAAACAGAGTGAGTAAACCGGTTGCCGCTGCCTGTTGCTCTCTGTTGGAAAAGCAGATTGCAGACTAGATCCAGCTGGTCTGATTTAGTGACAGAATCCTGGTGTCCTAACATTTATTTTCTCTATATCGTATTCCCGGTGCTTTCTCTCCTTCAGGGTCCCTCAACTCGTTCAGAGTTTTAACAGAATGGAGCAAGTAAATGAGTGTTGGGATGTTAGCAACCTTAGTTACTTGCCTAAGAGCTCACCAAGGTATCTTCTGATTTATTGCCTCAACGGTTCAGATGAGCTCTCTGCTAGGAGCCTGGTAATTCATGGAGGAAAGCACAATGACAGCTCTTAAATGTGCTTGGAGTCAAGAACTCTCTGGAGGCTGTCCCGGCTTGTAATAAATCCCGATGCCTTATTCATTCAGTCATTTTTATTTTTTATATCTGCCCTGTCCTTCCACCCAACATGCTGTTCAGGTGCTCTGGGCAGCAGGGTGCAGCACTGCTTATGCTGCATATGCATTTTCCGTTTGCCCTCGGCATCTTTGGCGAGGTTACGATCACTCCGTTTGACAAGATCTATTTAGTGCCTCTATACCGAGGCAGACGCCGCTGTCCCAGCCATAGATCTCCCTGAATGATGTGTGTGATTCACAGTTGAGGTTAACTGCGCTGGTGCTAATCACGTCTTAAACCGCTCGGGGAGCAGGGGACGTCCTACCGTGCCGCTCGGTGGTGAATGCCCCTCTTGAGAAGCCCACTTAGGGCGCCGGGCCTGGCATGCGTAAAAGTGCGAGCCGCCCTACTTGGTAATGTCTGGAGCCTTGTCTAGGACTGAATTCAAGGAGCGGGCATGTGTGGACTTCCAGATTCAAGGCAGAACTGATCTGTGGGCAGAGTGGAAAGAAGGTGCTGGGCACAGAGCTACCACATAAAAACATACAGTGTAGTATTTGCATCTCATTTTAAGGGGAATGGCCCAAACAGAAGCGTGATCATTCCGCTTCCCACGTGAAATGTCTCTCTTGCCTGGGTTCCCGGGCACGTGCACATCCCAGACGAAGAATCTATAAAGAAGCCTTCTGGGGGTAACCATTGATATCCCTTCAAGTAGCCATGACGTTCTCTGGATCTCTCTAATCCCATTTTGAAAGGTGTTTTCTGGGCCACTAGAGTGTGGAAAGGGCTCGCCTTGTTCACTGTTTTGCAGAATCCCTCAACTCCGAATGCAGCCGGCATGCCAACTCCCAGTGGACTAATAGCCACTGGCCAAAGCCTGGCACGATGCATTCCTTCTGACCATCCCTGCTCAACAGATTAATGTTGCTTTTGAGCCAACAATTTCTGAGCAGTCCTCAGATGCAGCTGGACACACGACACGCGGCAGTGGAGCCACGCCATCTTGCCTGAACATTCCTCCTTTGAGTCCGGAGTCCACAATGGTGTAACTGCATCACTGCTCTGGGTGTGGTATTTTGCTTTCTGGAGTATGCAAATATCATGGAAGCCCCTTGAGGGTCATGTCATCAAAAGGTGGGCTTTGCTAATAAATAATTGGCCACAGTAGCCTGACTAATAACGGGCAGGCTGTTTCTGACCCTGAGGCCCATGTCATGACCTTTCTTGGCTCACACCAGCCCTAGCCTGCCTGGTTGTGGCTTTGTGCGATCAAGGTTTAAATTTTTGTGCTGTCCCTCCCTCATTCCCATTCAGACAGCCAAGATTAACAGGTTTAAATTCAGATTAATTCAAAGGCACCTTGACGGGCAATTGTTAACGATCATCCCAGAGGTTATGTTTGGAAACTCGGTATCCCTCCCACCTCCGGATTTCGTTGGGAGGCAGTCTTAATCCAGCTCCAGTCTGTTAGAGAAGGAAACAGCCTCAAGCCATGCCCCGTAGATGATTTTTTTTTCTATATAGTCCCTCAAATCCTGTTAGGCAAACATATGTTGAAGTTGATCAAGCATTTCTGTTTGATTTTGTGGTCTGCCCTGAAGCTTTTTCTCCCCCTTTAAGGACTGTGCCAAGTCTGGGATGCGGCAAATATCCCCCCCCCCCCCCCCCCCACACATTTCAAGTTAATCCACACAAGGGATGCTTTTCAAAACAATTTCTTAGAGTTCCGCGGAGTTATTTCAGTAGGACATAGCTGAAACATCTGCACAATGTTAACCTTATGTATAAAATGCCAAGTGAGAAGGGACTGAGGGGAAAGAGCTTAATAGCCCTTAAGATGACAGTCCTATGACTGCCCGGAAAAGCCACCTGAGGCGCAATGCTATGCATATTTAGGCAGAAAATTCCTGCAGCTCCCAGCATGCACCAGCTGTCCGTGCTTGCTGGCAAATGTTGTGGCTTGTAGGACTTCTTCTGTCTAATCTGTGCAGAATTGTGCCCTTCGCCTTCTTCACGATTGCCCCATGCGTTCAGCATTTTCAGCTTGTGATTGACCACCCTCATATTCCCTGCACATAGACTCTAGCCAAGCTATGCATCGTCTCTTCCTCTTTTGTTTTTCCCAGTGTTGCACAATGCCTAAATCCAAAACTTCTCGCTTCTCTCAGTTGATCTTCATCCTGGTCTTTTTGCAGCTCAGTTTTCCACTCCTGGGCATTTCATGGGGAACCTCAGTTGGCCATCTTGGGACTGTAGGTGTTTCCAATCCCTGCCATAAGAGGCAAAACCGCAGCGCTTGTAAGTCCTGGCAGCAACAGACAAAGTGAATGTAGATGAATAGAGAGGAGCCTTTTGCCAAATCGCTTGTGCATTTATCACAGATGTAGCAAAATGCACATTTTCCAGTTGCTCATTGCATAACTTTGTAAATAAAGCTTTGTGGAAGATAGCCACATTTCAAAAAGATGTCTTAGCCACCCGTCTCTCTGTCATCTGCAAGCCGATTCAAATCTCAAAGCAGAGAAAGAAGAGGCAGCGTTTGTGTCATCACCTCCAACTCAACCCTCCCACCTGCACTTTTTTAAGTTGGCATCTTCCAGTTGGTTGAGTAGTTTGCTTTCTTTTTGGATTGTGCTGGAACTGGCTGCTCTTGGGCCTTAAAAAACACTTTAACGTACGTAACTCAATACTCTACATTTTCAAAGTGAGGTTTGCAAACACGCATGGCAAAGATGCCGCAGCATTTTTCACCCCCTGCATGAGTAAAGGGTTGCTGATCCTGGAAGGAAAGCCGTGGAGAATAACACGATGGAGAATTGCTTCCCAGCTTGTGTGTTGCTGGCGGCTG